GGAACGAAAGGCCTGTCAAAGTAGGGCATCGGTTGAGCTTTTGGAACAAGTTCCTTTCTCAGCCTCCTAATTTCTTCTTCCTCAGCCATCTAGAGAAAGTAACAGTACAGTAAAAAAAAAAAAGATAACAAGAATGAAGGAGAAAAACTCCATATACGTGCTTCAATCGCAGAACATATGCTTGGATTACCTTCTGCATTCTCTCTCTTTCCATCTTGTATTGTTCAATAAGGCTCATTTTTTCTGCCACCTGATGCAATCATGGAGAAACCAGGAACATAAGTTACTGTGCCTCCACAAATGACAAGCCATTTACAGGTCCTGTCCTCTTATCCATGCAGCACTCTCTTTGGTTATTTCCTTACGTATTGCAAGTATTTCTCATTTATTTTGCTTTCCCCTGATGAAATATAGCATTGAACAAGAATCTAAAACTAGCCCTTTTTCACTCTAACAACTTTGCTTGGGACTTCTCTTATTGGTGCACTTTCTTTGAGAAAAAATATTGAGCTATCCCTAGCAACATTTTGCACGAGACTAAACCAACTCGTTCACTACAAGAATTACTTTAGGTTGATGAATGACCAAATATAGAATAATCAAAATCTACCTGATGATCAAACTCAACACGTTCAGCAGCCCTAATGTCACTGTGCAGCACCAGATCAACTGGCCTTGTGCTCTCTTTTATCAGAGGCTTTGGCAAACACTAAACAATTGAAAACAAAAAAATTCAGGTTTGTTTTCAAAACAGGCTGATGTATAACCCAAGTGCAAAAGATTTGTGCATAGTGATCAGAGAGGTAACAACATGAACTTCCTACACAATTTCATCCTAATTTCTCTTTGATTTTGGTTTAAAAGAGTCCAGTCTCAAAAATACGAGATCAACAAGATGCGTCAATACACATAGAAAGTCTTTAATGGTTGGAAATGACTGGTGAAAAGCTTAGGCTACCTCTGGCTCATTTGTTGTCCATGGAAGGCCTTGTGCAATTGGTATCTGCTGTTTCTCCTCTTCCTCCACCATTTGTTGCACTTTCTTTAAAAACTCTTCCTCTTTACATTTTCCCCTTTCCTGCAACAATAGCCAATCTAATCAGCTCCTCAAGGAAATGGATAAATTATTAATTGGATTCAACATGACATCCTAATATATGCAGTTCAACAATGATAGGAGACAATTAACTGTTGAATCAAAGAAGAGGTAACTACATAAATAAAGACCACCCTGCTAGTGGTCAAGGAACAATGAACAATGAACATTATAAATGTCAACAAAGGGAATTGAAAGACCAATATTCTGAGTTTCTTGTAGCCATCATATTCCGTCCATCTTTCAGTGTCCACTCTGCACAACTCACTATTTTGGCGGCAGCTAGCACATGTCAACCAGATATATGCAGCTGCATATTTGGTCATATTTGCACAAGAAGCAACCAATTAGCCAAAGGTTAGAGAAACCAACACGCAATTCACAAACCTCAGTTCTAAGTTTGAAGGGCTTTTGGGAGGTCGCTTTGAGCTGCTTTCTCTTCCAGTTTCTTTTAGCAAATGTGCCTGATGATTCCATACTCTGCAGCATTAAGAATGAAACAAGAGCTTAAAGATTAACAGAATTCAACCCCATCATATTGTGATGGATAATAATAAGAAAATTCTTACATTGCGTCTGCTCCTTCGACCACCACCTGAAGTCCTGCTTGAAATAGTAAAGCTTGCAAAATAAAAAAGAACAGTATATTTTCAGCACTCGAAAGCAAAATTACACATCAATCCTAAATTAATCGGAGGATTGCATTAGATTGACTACCAATAGTCAATTTGTAATGAATCCTTATGATTTAAAAAATGAAAACAGAAAAACTAATAGAATAAATGAAGTTTCAATTACTAACCATCCATGGTTGCTATCCAACGAGGAGGCACGACGCGAATCCAAGCCTAAGCTCTCAGAGTTGAGGAAGAAATCCGATGGACAAAATGAAGAAGAAGATACATGTGTCTCAGGAATCTTGGGAGGCTGCAAGCCAGGCAATGCCCATTTTTGTTCTTTACTAGAATCCTCTGCTTCATTTTCATCATTTTCCCCTTTCTCCTTGCACTCTTTTGTTTTTGGTATTGAGAGAAGCTTCTCAAAAGCCTTAACTAAATGCTTCACTCTTCCAGAACCAGTTTCAGGTACACTTTGTCTTGTTTCTTCCAACAACCTCTCCCTCCTCCTCTTTATAGTCCCACCACTCATTTCACGCCGACCCACATCCTCGTTGCCCCTTTCCGCCAATTCATCTGCCACAGAACTATAGCGCAATTCAACTAATTCACTCTCGGAAATTGAAACAGGAATTGTTACCTCCTGATCGACTGTAGTCAGACTCAACCTGTGCCTGACTGGCGAATCAACGTAACACCCCGTAATTCGCGCTCCATCGCCACTTTCAGCTCTATTTACTTCATCTAACTTCTCAATGTCATACTCTTCCTGTTCATTTCCACAGCGATTCTTAAAAAACTCTTCTTGAGAAGCCCTGAGACTCTCATAAGCAACACAAAGACACTTTTTTATCTCAGCACCATCCTTATTACACTTACAAATCATTTTAGATTTCAGATTATCCTTATTACATTTCTTCTTCTTCGCGATTACAAACTTCCTCTGACTAATCTTATTTTTGGGCGAAGAAGAAGCCAATTGATTAGTATTATGGTTTCTGGAAACTGATTTCTGACTTTTCGTGGCTGATTTAGAAGATTTTGATAAAGCTGGACTGAACTCCACATTTGGGTTCGAATTCTCAGAAATTTTGGAGCATTTTTTAGGTGTAAGCCTAGTGGATTTGCCGTTAGAATCCATAAAAATCACCGGAAAAAGCAATGTGATTGTCGCCGAAGAGTTGATCAGAGTTAGGGTTTAGTTGTATTACTGATTGGCTAGGGTTTTCTGGTTTTCTCTCTCTCTCATTCATTGATCGACGAGGGAAAAGAAGAAGAAGTTGAGCTTTTCACGCTTCTGGAGTTTGTAACGGCTAGTTTTTTTTTTTGGTAGGCTTGATTTTGGAGCGTTGGATTTGTTTTTCTAAATTATTTTGCAAAACTGGACCGTTAATTAGAGAGTGATTTGAGGTTGTTGTTATGGCTAATTTTAATATTTATATAATAAAATGTATTTTTCAAAGTGCATTGGCCAAACTTCAAAAATATACATTAGCATATTTTTTTGAGAAAATTTCTAGCACAACATTATAGTCCATAGACATAATAAGGCTTTATAGTTATAGTTTCAATAATTATGCTTCATAGTTATAGTTTCGTTTGTTATGGAGGCCACGATTTGTATATTCGCTTGCGAATATATAAATAGGGTAAATATATACAAATTCTATATTTATATATATTTCACTTGCGAATATATAAATAGGATAAATATATACAAATTATGTATTTATACATGAATTTTTCAATACTCCGTCTGTATATTTCACTTTCCAATATACAAACAGGGTGATTTATTATGATTTTTCATAAATCGTATACAAATAGTTATGGTAAGCATATACAAAGTTTTGGATTTATACAATCGAGAACCAAATTATACAAATTATGGATTTATTCAAATCAGGCTAGTAGCAAGAATTGGGGAAACTGTAGCTGCAAAGTATAATTTTTTAAAATTGAACCTATTGTAAACATTGAAATTTTGTGAGACTCTACAAAATGTGTTCAATTCGAGTTGAGATTTTACAAGGTGTGTTCAATTCTAATTAGGATTCTTCGGAGGCTAGTCAATCATAAACTCTAGTCCATGCATATATAAAAGATATTATATTCTTTGGCTTCTCAAATATTCCACAAATTCTGGAATATTCATAAAGAGATGAAATCAAAATCAGTTCGAGAAATACGCCACTAACGGCCCTCGAATCGAATCATCAGGGGAGGAACATATTTGTACCCGCAATGTTTATAATAAAACTATATTTCTTTATATTTTATTTGTGATTGCAATTTTTTTATCACTTTAAAATTTGTTGCAAACAGCTATGATACCTAATATAGGCTAAATATTTATAATTTTCCCTAAAAAAAAATCTATTTCTAAGTCTTTCTAAGAAAACAAAACAATTCATTTATTTTTTAAAAAAAAAAATAGAATGAAGGATTATGGAATATTGCTACATCAAAACAATATATTAAAATATTTGAAAAATGGACTGAATGAATTTTTTTCACTCTCATAAATGAGTAGCTTCTCCGCGAAGGTAAGTAGCAATGTAGTTTTAACATTGTCTTTTTCCACAATTTATTTATTATACTTTATCCTAATTTATGTGACACTTTTTTACTTATTAAGAGTTAATTAACTAATTTTTAAAGTTAAATTGAATTAAATCAACTCATCTAATTTGAATTTCGATAAGCGAAAAATCACATAAATTAAAACAAGTGGAGTATTAATTTTCATTTACAATTAGCCTTATAACTTTATAATGAACCTTTATTTCTCTTTACCATTTTTGTCAAGTATTGATTTAAAACAAATTGGACTGAAGAAATTTCTATCCATGTGATGGTACAATAAATTGTTCTTTCCAGCCGAATGACTTTGCAAAAGGTCACAACTTACACTTTTAAGTATTGATATTGAGATATATATACAGTAAAGGACTTTTATGGGCATATATATAGTATTGCCTAAAACGTCCGAAATTTTATTTAAGTAGAGAAGAGCAAAGTACCTATTGATACAAATAACTACCGGCATTTCCTTCTCTGTACAACCATGACTCGACAAACACATACAAAGGTTCATTTACTACTAATAATAATAACTAGTAATATGGCATGAATTTGGAGCGGATGACAAAAGCATCTCTGCTCAATCATCAGTGTTTTTGCAATGTAACAATAAAACACTGTGAAGACATGCCAACTTTATTTTATTTACTACTAATAACTTCTAATAACACATGAATATATCACATTTGACAAAATCACTCTGCTCAATCGTCGTCGGTGTGCTTTTTGCGACGATTTTTCTTCCTCTCCTTGTCAGAGCCCGAGTCAGAGTCAGAATCACCCTGCCAATTTATCAAAGATTAAATCAATGAAATAATAACATAACTCTAGGTACATTACGTTATTATTAATTATGTGATTCAAAAATTAAAATAATACTCCTACTTACATATTTCTTGCGACCATAGCCTTCATCATCGTCATCGCCCTTCCCATAGCTAGGCTTCTTGTAGTCATCTTCCTCGGACCTACCATAACTAGGCCTCTCAATTGTTGAACTCCCATAACCTTCGCTCTTTTTCCCATACCCACTAGATCCATACTCATCAGAATCGGTCTTTCGCCCATAACTTGACCCATATGCTGATTTTTTCCCCTCATCATCATCATCATCACCACCACTCTTTCTTACGTTCCCTGATCCATACCCGGTGGATGTAGTTTTATTCCCATATCCACCCGATTCATCTTCATATCCGGTGGATGTGGTTTTACTCCCATACCCACCCGATTCATCTCCATACCCGGTGGATGTGGTTTTACTCCCATATCCACCCGATTCATTTCCATACCCGGTGGATGTGGTTTTACTCCCATACCCACCCGATTCATTTGCATACCCAGTGGATGTGGTTTTACTCCCATATCCACCCGATTCATTTCCATATTCCGAACTCTTATCCTCGTATTCACTTTTCTTTCCATACCCACTGGATCCGGTTTTGCTCCCATATCCACCTGACCCGTACTGATCATCAGAGTCATGAGTAGTACTTTTTGACCCGTAACCCGATCCATATTCAGATTTGGGCACATCATCGTCGTCTCGTCCATATCCAGATCCATGTGACTTTTTGGGTTTTCCATATTCTGATCGATTTCCATACCCGGTTTCATCAGATTCAATTCCACTTCCACCATACTCACTTTCACCGTAAGACATTTTGTTGTGTTGATTTCTAAATTATTTTCGTCTTGATTGAATAATGTGATCACACGAAAATGAATTTTTGTAAGTTGGTTGAATTGAAATATAAAGGAGGGAAAAACAGTTACAAGTTGTTGGAACCGGAAACGAGGTTGTTACTCCTATTTAGTGATAGTAGATGGTTTCATAATCAAGGGCCACCATTACTTGATTTGTTATAAATTTAATATTTATGGTTCTAAATTTGCATCAAATTAATAATTCGTTTGCAGTTATATACTTATACTAACACTAAAAGGGACACTCTCTAAAAATACATATTAAAACGGACAATTCACCAATTTATGATGCTAGACTCTTCTTCTTGGCATCGAAAAATGAAGAAATCTTGTTAATTTTATTCATGGGAATTGCAAAAAGATACAAGACAAGTATACCCCATCATATTAAATTTTAATTCATTACAATGTACTTTATTTGTTTCAATTTATGTGACACAGCTTGAATTAAGAGTCAAATAATTTAATTTTGACAGGTAATTCGGGTTTGGAATCGTTAAATGTTTTGAAATAAAATTTACTTATTTGAAAACTATTTTAAAAGAAAAATTATAAATGAACGTCAAAATCCAAAAAGTGACATTTAAATTAAGACAGACATTTGGGAATCGTCATTTTTTACATTTGTTTGAGATACTTCCATAGATGAACTGAAAACACAAAAAGAATATTTTTTTAAAAAACATAGAAAATGGAGATGCGGGGGATCGAACCCCGTGCCTCTCGCATGCAAAGTGAGCGCTCTACCATTTGAGCTACATCCCTTTCTGCTATGTGTAACAGATTTTAAAATTTGTACGTAACATATATGATGGTTCAAGTAGGCTTTAAGTTTGGATTCCCTTTTGTTATTTACTTATTTTTAGCTTTTTATTTGGCTCATAGGTCAGTTCAACCCATATTGCTCAAGCCCTATAAGCTAACAGGCTTAATTGACTGAGACTAAATTTTTTTATTTTTAAATGAGCTTCAAAAAATTTAATTCAACACTATTATTTATTGGTTGAATTAGATCGGACCAACAAACCTAGTCAATATTAACGACTCTAAACAAAAGTCAAGCTAGCTAGGGTGTAGCAAGAGCTTGGATCGATAATCATACAGATTGAAGCATTGAAGAAGTTATTGGAGAAGTTCTAATTAATACATTACGCAGTAGTCAGTACTATAATATTTTGAATTCTAAGTCCTCGTAAATATACTCATTTCTGAAATCCTATGAAAGGGTAAACCAATGGCAACAACTTTAATATTTTTTGTAGAAGTAGAAGGAACTATTTTTGCTCCAGAAAATTGTTGAAAGAAAAAGGGTGAGATCAAGACATACGTCACCCCAGTCTCTGTTCCATTGATTGGCAAGGAGCTGCAAACTCAAAAATAAAAAAAGATGATCAAATTTAGAAAGGACGAAACGATTTTGAAGATCTTAATGGCACAATTAGAAGATGTCAACAAACCCAATAGTCCTCTCCATCCTCAGAGGATCCCCATCCAATGAGCTTAATAGCATGGCCTTCCCATTTGCTCACCAGTTATGTGCTTGTAAACTCCAGACTTGTAGTGAGCGAAATCACGTGCTTGAGAAACGGTTTGTCATTGAGTACATGAAGGTCACAGGTAAAAATAGGAGAAGATAACAGAAAGAGCAAAGAAACTAATCTAAGAAAAGAGGATGCATTCACAAGGACACCATGTTGAGGCAAATGCAAGAACAAAGTAAGCAGTCTACTACTTAAGTATGCACCAATTGACAAGCAGTATATTTATGCACAAACGACTCAAATATTTCCAGACTGGGAAATTAGTGCATTTAAGAAGATCATTGGAATTTCTAACTGGTACTTCTTCATTGTCATGGCATTAATTATCCTGGAACATAAACCTCTACAGATCACTAATATTTCCACAAACATAGTAGATGGTAACACTAGAATTCAAAAAGGTAGAGTTGGTGACCAACAATTATTTTGAACTCTGTCGAAACAGCTTATCAACAATTATTTGACAGTTAACCATCAAAAGAAAGTAATTTCAATCATATTTTTCTATTTAATTCAGTCAAGCATTATTATTGTCCTCACATATGATACTGTACGGATCGGAGTTGATCAGTTATGCATTGACGCCAAAATGCTTGGATTTACTCCAGAGTAGATTCTCTTTAACACACTTCCTCTTTCACTGTGGAGTGGGATATCCAGGTTCACATCCACGGTGGGAACATCCCTTATTATCAAAGTAAGGGTCACACTGACAGGAAAATTTTTATTAGTTGAGCATAATGATCCACAATCTTTTTTCAGATCGGTATAAGAATCCCACAATATCTGAAAGATGTAATCTCTCTGAAGTACAATAAGTGTATAACAAAACTATGTATACCTCTTCAGTGATCACACCCTTGCGGACAAAGTATCTCCAAGTTTCTAATGGATATCCACCATCACAATTCACAACCATCCCCACATAAATAGCCCTAGCATGCTACGATATCATTTGCTGACACAGAGATATTTGTTAGGATCGAAATAAGCAGGTGTAATGCGGAAGCTAGCAAAGCAAACCTCGAAAGACCACAAGTAAGAAGACAAACGAGAAATATACAAAGACACAAAGATTTAACGTGGTTCGGTCAATCGACCTACGTCCACAAAGGAGATGAGCAATCCACTATATAAACATGAGAGTACAAAATATAGAGAGAAATAACCTCAACCAATTCACTTGGAATACATGGGAGGTTCACACAAGTGATAACGTATCAAGCTTGTGACCCACAAATTCTCCCCCTAACCAAAACTCTCAAAGCCCTTAAGACTACATTGTGAATGCTGATTAAGTTAGAAGGAACAAGCCTATATTTATAAAGTCCTAAACCTTTCCTACAAGAAAAGGACTAGTAAAATATAGGCTTGTTCCTTCTAACTTAATTAGCATTCACAATGTAGTCTTAAGGGCTTTGATAGTTTTGGTTAGGGGGAGAATTTGTGGGTCACAAGCTTGATACGTTATCACTTGTGTGAACCTCCCATGTATTCCGAGTGAATTGGTTGAGGTTATTTCTCTCTATATTTTGTACTCTCATATTTATATAGTGGATTGCTCATCTCCTTTGTGGACGTAGGTCGATTGACCGAACCACGTTAAATCTGTCTCTTTTGGTGTGTTTCTCGTTTGTTTCTTACTTGTGGTCTTTCGAGGTTTGCTTTGCTAACTTCCGCATTACACCTGCTTATTTCGGTCCTAACAAGTGGTATCAGAGCCATGGTTCAATGATGGAACTAGGTTACAGATGGGTGTTCATCTTGGCGGGTGTAGTTCTAGTCGCAACCTTTTTGACAGTAATGAAGATCTTTGTTGGAGAAATTGTTTAAGAGAGGTTCTCTGTGTCGAGACGTAGATTTGATGGAGGAGATTATGGAGAAGAGATGCAAGATCCTAAAGATTATGTGAAGAAGGTGGACAAATTTATTTTGTCAGAAATTCAGGCCAAGGGGGAGATTTGTTGGGGTTTATTTGCCCTGATTTCTTACCATGAATAGGTTTTCCTTTTAGGAAAAGGTTTTAATATTTTACTAGTCCTTTTCTTGTAGGAAAGGTTTAGGACTTTATAAATATAGGCTTGTTCCTTCTAACTTAATTAGCATTCACAATGTAGTCTTAAGGGCTTTGAGAGTTTTGGTTAGGGGGAGAATTTGTGGGTCACAAGCTTGATACGTTATCACTTGTGTGAACCTCCCATGTATTCCGAGTGAATTGGTTGAGGTTATTTCTCTCTATATTTTGTACTCTCATATTTATATAGTGGATTGCTCATCTCCTTTGTGGACGTAGGTCGATTGACCGAACCACGTTAAATCTGTCTCTTTTGGTGTGTTTCTCGTTTGTTTCTTACTTGTGGTCTTTCGAGGTTTGCTTTGCTAACTTCCGCATTACACCTGCTTATTTCGGTCCTAATAATATTCTGCCTCACACATAAAAATTGAACCATTAGCTACCATAACTAGAATAAACTAGCAAGTTTTTGCATGAAGGAATGAACTTACCAAGCCATAATGAATACAGAAATGATCAGACAACAACTCAGCAGCACCAAAAGCCCAACAAGAACCACAATGTCCCTGAAATACAAACGATCAGATTGTTAGAATACCGGGAAAGAGCAATTAGCATATTCAAGAGGAAAAACAAATGATGAAATTAGAACCAAGACAAATCACCTGATCTGCGTCGCAAAACAGTACCAGTGCATGACATCAAAAGATGGAAAGCATTAGCACCACTCTATAGAACTCTACAACACTAAATCTGTGACCTTTTAGTTTGATCAGAGTACAATGACAGTAATATCTTCTCTATTATGAATGAAATCATACCTGAAGGATTGCAGATTCCGCTTTAGCTTGGGATATTGGATTTTCTGCAACAACCTGCTTGCCGTTCACAAAAGAAATTATGTATTCAACAATGGACTACATGAAGATTAAATAACTTCAGGTATAGGCTGTTAGCATGATAGACAACTAAATGATTGTATATATTAATGTAATTATATAGTGATATAAATTAGCATGATCATATACATTTGTTGTAGAATCATGTGAATAAATATTGTGATAGAATAGCTGATTTGGAGGGATAGCAAGGCAGATTTAGAGGGATTCAATGGCAGATTTGTATAGATAGAATAGCTGATCTTTAGGGATAGGAATGGCGGATCTTTAGGGATGTGTAATCTTTATTTTCTCTATATAATGGAAAGACTCTCACTTTGAGAGGCATTCAGCTGAAAATGACATGGTATTAGAGCCTTCTCTTGGCTGTCTTGTTTCATAGAGTCATTTGTGGTTCCTTTTAATTTTTTTTGAAAATCTTGGTTTTTGGCTACCTCCTGGGAATTTTGTTCTTGGTCATTCTAGTTGCTTTCTTGAGTCTTTGTAGTTTTATAGCTATTCAAAAGCATGAATTCACATCACTTTGAATC